AGCAGATGCTGATTGCAAAAAATGTTTCCACTGTGATTAGACTAAATTTGCAAGTCTGTTGTTAGACTTGCTATTGCTTGAACACAGTTAATTGTGTCCAATCATTCTGTGCATTATGACAAATTCTCTTACTGCACCCCCAAAACCACTATGGTCATAATATTTTGTCACATTATGTTATGATAAAGTGCAGCTGAGCCACAAAGAACACCATACAAGTAGCATGTGAAATTCTCTGCCAGGAAAATGTCTAGAAGAAACATTATTATTAATATTATTATTATTATTATACAGTATTTATATAGCACCAGAAAGGTTTGCTCAGCGCTGTACATTATAGTGGGGGACAAAACATTAGACAATACAGTAACAAAACAAAACACGAGGGGTTCAAGGGCCCTGCTCTTTCGAGCTTACAATCTAGGAGCTGCTTATTGCTAGAGATTCCACTCCAGAAACATAATGAGAACAAACAGCATTTTTCAGGGACATCCAATCACATTGGGCATATTCCTAAGCATGTTCTACATGCATTGTCTTGCCAGGGACAGTGGAATTTTTAGGTTTGTGAAAGACCTGAGGCATCTGTGGGCTTCCTAATGTGACTAAAAATGTGGAATCCTACCCCCCCACAGTGAAAGTCCCCACAAAATATGTCTTCAAGCAGAATTCTCGGGCAACAAAATTTTTTTACCATGCAGCGGGGCTGTGCCTGCACAGCATGGGCTAACTGCTCATTTTTTGTATAGGGGTGATAAAAGCAAAGTCATATTTCCTCTGATCGTCCGAGCTCAACTGGTCCCTCCCATTTCTGCCCCCCTGCATGCTAGCGGTCTTGTGAATGGACTGTTCCTGACATCAACATGCCCATAGACCAGCTCCCTATGTGAGGATGGCAGGGACAGTCCACCTCTGAATGTGGGGGAGCGCCGTTTTCGGGCGGTTCGAAGGACAGGGTAAGTATAGCCTTTCTGGGGCCCCTGGACAAAATGAGGTAGGTAACCCTTGCAGTGCGGGCACAGCCCCTCTGCATCGGACAGAACATTTTTTACATGGAGTTCTGCTTTAATTACCAGGCCACAAGACAGAATCTAATAGACATATAGGAACCTGAGAACAATAATTTTTTTAAACAATCAAATCAAACAAACAAAAATTACATATTTGTTTGCTTTTTTACACCGAAGAGTTTTATTAGAATAGCTGAGGACTAATTATCAACCAGTAACTATAGAGACAATGAATTTTGGTCATGAGCAGGGATGGGCCAAATATACCGGTGATCAGTACAAGATGGATTTGTTGAAATCTACTCAAGTTTGGGTGCTGAATTCAAACAGTATTGAATTTAATAGGAACTGAATGTTAAAAACTATTGACAGTAATGTTCTAACTAATTAGGCAAGGGATTGGCAAAAAATGGTATGGGGGCCTTGGAGCATCCTGGGAACATGTACAAAAACAGTTTTAAAATATCATTGGCACTTAACAGCAAAAATCCATAGGTGTTCATCATGTGACCCTATAGTTTTAATCTGTGGGTCCAGGGTTCAAGTCCTTGTACAGGTGATTGCTTTATCTTTTGCTACACAACAGTTTACATTTTGGCAAATTTACAGCTGCCATCTTAGCCTCTAGTGATACTAAAGTCTTTTTTTTTAATAACAAACATATTAAACTTACCTGCTCTGTGCAGTGGTTTTGCACAGAGCAGCCCGGATCCTCCTCCTCTCAGGGCCCCTAGCAGCACTCCTGGTCCCTTCTCCCTGTCGGGTACCCCACAGCAAGCAGCTTGCTATTAGGGCACCTGAGCTGGTGAGCCATTCACACACAGAGCTGTGGCTTGCCCCTGCCTCCTCCCTCTCCTCATTGGCTAAGGCAGCAGCGGGAGCCAATCAGGAGTGAGAGTCTCAGGAGAATCGAGGCTCTTGTGAACATCGCTGGATCAGTATAGGGCTCAGGTAAGTATTGAGGGGGCTGCGACAAACAAAAGGTTGTTTACCTTCATGCATAGAATGCATGAAGATAAAAAACCTGGAGCCTTTAGAAACAAGGTATCAGCTATTTTATGGTTTAACAGTTCAGTTGAGAGCCAACATAAGCAAGTAACCATGGCAGTTGAATGTTACTGTCTTGGAAAACAATTAAATTGATAGATTTAATTTCACTTTATAGACTTGTGAATTAAGCCGGTTTGAAATTTTTTTGCATTCAGCAACAGCTTAAAGTTATGTTAGAGAAAAAAAATCAAAATGCTACTAACAGTTATCATTCAAGGCAAGGCTTGAATGCAAATATTTTGGGAAGCATTTGGATCGGTGTGTTTAAAGGAAATTTTTTTTGCAATCTGCTTAAATAAACAAAACTTTTCATTCCCATACCGGGAGTCGAACCCGGGCCGCCTGGGTGAAAACCAGGAATCCTAACCGCTAGACCATATGGGAGAATTGAAAGCTTATCTGCTGGAACTAAACTCTGTAAATCAAAACCCTATATGTTAGAGATGGTTTGCTTTAAATGGAAGGGGTCTGCTGTGCTGGGGGAGAGGTTGATGGGAAGGCTGGAGGAGTATTTAACCTCCCTGGAGGTATTCCCGAGTGTAGCTCGGGGTAAAGTTTCAGCACCAAAAGCGGTAACCCCGAGCTACACTCGGGAATACCCTGCAGCAGGGGCGGACTGACCATTCGAGCACTCGGGCACTGCCCGAGGGCCTGGGGTCAGTAGGGGGCCCCATGAGATGCCCCTGGTACCTTTCATTGGCTTTTTTCATAGGCTTTTTTGGGTATAGGTGAGGACACAGGGGCCCCATGATCCCCTATTGCCCGGGGGCCCCATTAGTTGTCAGTCCACCCCTGTCCTGCAGCGTTGCTCCAGGAGCCCTTCTGCACTTACCTTGTCCTTCGTTCCCACGATGTCCCCCCTGCAGCGTCCCCAGCAGGGGCGGACTGACCATTTGGAAACTCGGGCACTGTACGAGGACCCGGGGTCAGCAGGGGGCCCCATGAGATGCCCCCGGTACCTTTTTCATAGGCTTTTTTGAGCTTAGGCAAGGATACAGGGGCCCCATGATCCCCTATTGAGGGCCCGGGGTCAGTAGGGGGCCCCATGAGATGCCCCTGGTACCTTTTTAATAGGCTTTTTGAGTTTTGACAAGGACAGAGGGGCCTCATGATCCCCTATTGCCCGGGGGGCCCATGAGTTGTCAGTCCGCCCCTGGTCCCCGGCCATCTCCTCTGGCCGATGCCAGCATCTGTCTTCCGGGTTCTGTTCCCTGCGACGTCGGGACATACAGGAAACGGAACCAGTGGGAAATTTAAAAATGACAAAAAGTGACATTCACTAAATACACTAAAATCTGATAGTATAACATTACTGTATCAAACCATTTCACATACATTTTGTCCCGAGTGCTTTGTCCGGCGCCCTGTCTGCATTTTTACTGTTCTTTCTGCCTGGAAACTGAGAAACATCCATGGCGTCCAAAAAGCGTCCCTTTAGGTCAAAAGCGGTTTTAGATCAGCTAGAGAACAGCGATAGTAAACCAGAACTACTTGCAGAATTGAGTGATAATGATTTGTGGGGAAATTCATCATCAGACACTGAAAACGATTCTGCGACTTTGCTCAGTGATGTGCGAACTTGGTGCTCTATTTCAAATTTCAGTGTTTTTGATTTGATCACATTATTGAATTAAATTTATTATTATTATATTATTATTTTTTATGATTATTTATTAAATTATAATTTATGATTTCGTGTTTCAAATTTTATCATACCCGGGATGTTTACTAGACTCTTGTTCGGACAGATTTCAGTGAGTTATTCCTAAAAATTACAGGTCTACATTAAAAAATGACATATTTCCATGCAAAAAAAGTACCGCTTTGAGCACAGAAATACTGACATAATCAGACCGCTAGGGAGGTTAAACTAGGATCGAGGGGGGAGGGAGAATTATATTATAACGGGGCAGACAGATCAGACAGGGGTCAGTACTTATTGGTGTCTGGAATGGGGAAAGATGGGGGAAGACTATGGCAGATGATAAGAAGGTTCCCATGTTACAAACAACCAGTGGAATTGGTACCATTTGTATGAAAATAAAAAATATGCAAAATACGTGTGCAAAAGGTGTCAATGAATTAAAGTGTTTGTTCACCAATGCTAGAAGTCTGCCAAGCAAAATAGGTGAGTTGGAAGTTTGGTGCACGAAGAGAACTATGATTTAATTGTTATTGCTGAATCTTGGCTTCATTCTTCACATGACTGGGCCATTAATATTCCTGGCTATGTTCTCTTTCAGAGAGACGGGGGAAATAGGAAAGGTGGTGGTGTCTCTCTATGTGAGAAGTGATCTCAGAGCGAGTGTGAAAGAGGACCTAGTTGATGGAGAGTGTGATGAGGCTAAAGTATTATGGGTGGAACTTCACATGGGGGTGCGTACTACAAATTTATCATTGAAGTTGGTCATAGGCCACCCAGTGTTAATGAGGAGATGGAAACTCAGCTCCTTGCACAGATCAAAAAGGGCTGCAAGGGCTGGGACAGTGATAATAATGGGGGATTTTAACTACCCGGAAATTAACTGGAGTAATGGCACTGCAGGAACAGTTAAAGGGCAAAATTTTTAAATCTGCCCTTTCCCCGTCCTGCTCGCCCTCTTTCTGCCACAGCCCCAATGTTTGCCTGGTATGTTAACTTTCCCTGTGGATTACTGGCTCCTTGTCGGTGTCACTTCCTGTGGCAGGTATCCATCTTTGCAGGAAAAATCAGCCCAAGCACTTGAGTCCAGACATTGCATCGCTCCACTCAGGTCAGCCAAGCAGCCTCTACCACTATTTCCCTAGCTGGGGATCGGGTCTTCTGGCACTGCTGGGAATCTGTTGGAGGACACTCAGAATTGAACACAAACACACAGAGACACATGTACACACACACATACACACACACATACACACACATACAAACACATGTATACACACACAGGCATGTACAGACACACATACACACAGATACATGTACATACACAGAAATACACACGCACAGACACATGTACATACACACGCATAGACACATGTACATACACATAGACACATGTACACACATGTATGTACATACACACAAACACACACATGTATATGTACACACACACAGACACATGTGCATACACACAGAGACATGTACAATTGTACATGCATACACAGACACACACATGTACACGTACACACACACACCCCATAAAAAGTTGCAGTACTTCCTTGTTCACTCACAGAGCCGGGTACTGCACTCTAGGGGGAGGCAGAGAGCACAGCACACACTCCTTCCTTTGCTTTCACTGCGCTCAGCTATTAAGCAGTCTGACGGCTCCCAGTGCCACTGACAGATCCGGCCTGAGCTCCGAGCCTGCTCAGCAAGACGGCCCTGGAGGACACACTTGCCCCCACCATAATTTCCACTCGCCATTGCCGAGCAGGTGAGTGAAAATTTCAAGCCCTGCCCTATATCACTTATAAATATATTAAAAAGTAAGGGTCCCAACACTGAACCTTGGGGTACACCACTGGCAACCCTAGACCATTCAGAGTATAAATCATTAACCAATACTCTCTGAATACAATCTTTTAAACAAAATCATGTAGTAAACAGACACAGAAATCATACCAGTTGCTTGACATCATTTTTCTAGGATCTCCATATATATGGTCCTCTTGTCACCAGGCTTAGCAGCTGATCTCCAGTAACCTTTTAGAATCTGTTGAACAGAGAACTAATATTTGGTATAAAAAGTCAAGTTGTGTAATTTAAGAAAAAAGGAAACACCTTTGAATGGTTTTGTGGTATAGGCATCAGAAACTCACCACAACCGCAAACAAACACTGGAACTTCCTTAGACCAACTAAAATAATCAGTGCCAAAACTTCTTAAGAAAAACAGCTATCTGTCCATGTGGCTGTATAGCAGATCACATTTAAAGCGTTTCTAAACCCAGGGCGCTGCATTCACTATATCTGGTCTCCCACAGTACACAGAACATGGAAATGCAATTATTTTATTCAATTTAAGCTGCTAAATAACTTTTCTAATTAGCAGTATATAGCAGTCTTGTGACTTCTATCAATGTCCAGCAGAGCATTAGTTAAAGCTTGTAGGAAGAGTTTTATTTCTGCTCTAGTAGGATGCGGGACCCCTGACCTCTGTCTGGACGGTGCTGATTGGCCCTGTGCTGATCACATGCACTCTCTCAAGAAAAAAAACCACTCTAGCAATACACACCAAACTGAGCATGTGCAGAGTGACTCCACACGATATGTCTTATCAGGAGATAAGAGGGGGACACTGGAAGATGGGGAGGACCAAAGCAGTCAGGATCAAACAGTGTTTTTTACACAATGTGGAGGACAGTTCCACAGTGAGTATAACAAGCACACTTTACTGCAGATACAGACTGATTTTACTGTTGTGGATTTAGTAACACTTTACCATTTGCCACCCAGCCATTGCACACAAACTGTTGGTTTGCTAATTCCTAAGAGTGGAAGATTGTTTTAAAATGGCCTCCCCTTTGCATCACTCATGCACACCCTTTAGAGCATGCAGCGGCAGCCTCTGTGATCACTGTGTCCAGTTTACCTTTGACAATGGCACAAACACATCTGTTTGAATACATGTTTTTATGTTATACAGTATTTTTCTTTAGAGATCCATTTATGTTAATTCAGCTGTTTTTCTTTTTTATCTATTGCATACCTCCCAACTTTTTGAGATGGGAATGAGGAACACCTGTCTGGCATAGGACATCCCTCGCCATGCCCCCTTAAAGGAGAATTATAAAAAAAAATAAAAATTAGTTAAACCCACAAACGCTTTTTTTAACCACAATATAACTTTATACTGTCTTTTAAAGTTTACAAATGCAACAATTTAGAAATTGGATGAAAGGTTTAGTACTGGGAAACACTTTTTGAAAGATAAATAGTACATGTTATATACCAGGGCTTGAAATTTCCACTTGCCTGCTCGCCAATGGCGAGTGGAAATTATGGTGGGGGCGAGTGTGTCCCCCAGGGCCGTCTTGCTGAGCAGGCTCAGAGCTCAGGCTGGATCTGTCATTGGCACTGGGAGCTGTCAAACTGCTCAATAGCTGAGCGCAGTGAAAGCAGAGCAAGGAGTGTGTTCTGTGCTCTCTGCCTCTCCCTAGAGTGCAGTACCCGGCTCTGTGAGTGAACAACGAAGTACTGCAACTTTTTATGGTGTGTGTGTGTATGTACATGTGTGTGTGTTTGTGTGTGTCTGTGTTGTGTATGCATGTACATTTCTGTGTATGTACATTTATCTGTGTGTATGCGTGTCTCTTTATGCCTGTGTGTGTATACATGTGTCTGTATGTCTGTGTATGTACATGTATCTGTGTGTATGCGTGTCTGTGTGTATGCGTGTCTGTGTGTACATGTGTCTCTGTGCATGTGTGTACATGTTTCTGTGTGTGTATGTATGTACATGTCTGTGTGTGTGTACAGGTGTCTCTGTTTGTGTTTGTTGGTGGTGATTAACTCTAAGGCCTGGCTAGTACCTCGGTTTATTAATTTAATGCGTTCTGCGGGACTTTTTGTATTGCGAAAAATCCGTAAACCGAAACGTGGTTTCCCATAGGAATGCATTGAAAACCAATTACTCCGTTCCTGAGGTCAGAAAACAGTCCAAAAAACGTTTTATCTGTTTAAAACTCTTTATAAAGTGCACTTTAAAGGCATAAATACTGTACAGGGACATGATTAAAAAAAAATTGTAAATGCACTGAAAACCAATTAATCTGTTCATGTTACGAAAAAAAATCATACATTTTCAATGGATTTTCATTCATAAACCGAAAATTACATTAACCGAGGCGTTTGTAAAGCGAGGTACGCCGGTATATAGATCAAACCAAACTGAGGGAGGGATGAGGGATAGAGGGACTTTGTTCCAGATCAAGGACAGTCCCTCAAAATCAAGGACAGTTGGAGGTATATGCTATTTTATAGGTTGACCTCAGTAGGCTTCCTATTTCCCAATTTGTTAGGAATTTCAAAAGCTTGGAATTTTTCAGTCCTGACCTTACTTGCCTGGTGTTTTTTTTCCTGCTGTCACCAATTGGCAGCCTATAGTTGCTCAAGCCAAAATCTAGCACTGGTTTTAAGGACAAAAGCTGAGGGATAATCTTTGTGAACTAACTTTTAAATACGGAATACCAGAAACATTTATAACAAAACACAGATATTAAAAAAAAAAATCATCACATCAAGGAGACAAAATCTTTAGTGAACCTGTAAAAAAATAAAATAAATTAGCAAATAATTTAGCAAATATGGTTTTGAAATGACTGTATGTATTGTGCTTTCATAAACTGAGACGTGTTAAAGTGACCAAAATGAAAGCACAAAACATATATTTGAAAGCATGCATTAACCCTTCAGATAATCACAGGTTTTTGCATGTGCAGAGGCGTAAAAATTTCCTTTAGGATCTAATCACACCTATCAATTGCGATGCATTGCAGTAATGCATGGAAATACATATATTAGTGTGTTGCCAATAATTTTCAATGATACCTCCAATGCACATGTGCTGCAGTGCACCACAATGCATGGTTTTGTACAACCATGTGTTGTGCATCACGACATTGGAAACAATAGTGCTTATCCGTTTTGGTGCATTGGCAGCTCATACAAATAAATTGGCTCCCTTAATACAATACATGTTAATGAATAAAGGAAAACACCACAAAAGACCACCTAGATATGAATGGGTCCCCAAAACATTTTCACAAAAGCTTCAGCTTGTGTAAGAGCGGCATTTGCAAAGCTTTGACCAAACTTTGAACAGTTCTGTTAAAGTCTTTATTACACCATAAAGGCTTGTTTACATTTGCTTCAAAATGTGGTATAGGACACACTTTTTTAAAGCACTCTGAATGCCAATGAATGCATCCATACTAAATAAAATGTTACGCTTACAGTCCTGTTTACTCATTGCGTTTGCTTTGCTTCACAAATTATACCCCATTTCACTTTCTTGGTGGTTCAAAGTGTCTCCAAAGCCTCCATTACAGTCCATGACAAAGCTCCCTAACAGCACCTGTAGCTTTTGAGAGGCTCTTATTTATCTTTAGCTTCACTTTGGTTTGGAGGTATTGCAGTTATGAGATATCCCAGAATGTACTGGAAAACCAACAAGCCAACCTGGAAAGATTTAATCAGCAGTCACTTCCGGTTAATGTGTATATATTCTGGGAGTGTCTGGTGCAGACTATAGTGGAAGGTGAGCGGGGAGAGGTCTGATCGGCAGAGGATCAGCAGAGCTGGGAGACTGGAGCAGGAGAAGCTAGCAATGTCACACGTGTTGCCCAGCGTGGGAGAAATATAGTGGGAGGTGAGCTGGAACTAGAGAGAGAGGAGGATCAGCAAACCAGAGGATCAGCAGAGCTGGGGGTTACTACTGAGTGGGGGATCAGTATAGCTGGGGTTTACTATTAAGCGGGGATCAGCAGAGCTGGGGTTTATTATTAAGCGGGGATCAGCAGAGCTGGGGTTTACTATTGAGCGGGGGATCAGCAGAGCTGGGGTTACTATTAGGCGGGGGATCAGCAGAGCTGGGGTTTACTATTAAGCGGGGATCAGCAGAGCTGGGGTTTACTATTGAGCCGGGGATCAGCAGAGCTGGGGTTACTATTAAGCGGGGATCAGCAGAGCTGGGGTTTACTATTAAGCGGGGATCAGCAGAGCTGGGGTTTACTATTAAGCGGGGATCAGCAGAGCTGGGGTTTACTATTAAGCGGGGATCAGCAGAGCTGGGGTTTTTCTATTGAGCGGGGGATCAGCAGAGCTGGAGTTACTATTAAGCGGGGGATCAGCAGAGCTGGGGTTTACTATTAAGCGGGGATCAGCAGAGCTGGGGTTTACTATTAAGCGGGGATCAGCAGAGCTGGGGTTTTTCTATTGAGCGGGGGATCAGCAGAGCTGGAGTTACTATTAAGCGGGGGATCAGCAGAGTTGGGGGTCTGCTGAATAAGGGTATTAATAAGCTGGGGATCTGCTGAGTGGAGGTAGTACTGAGCTGGGGTTCTACTGGGCAAACAAATAAAAACAAATAGAAAATCAACACAAAGCAGGGCATTTGACAAGCTTCATTAAAGGTTCAAAAAAGCTTAGTTGAAGCATCACAGAAGCATCAAAAACACATCAAAAAGCATGTGGAAGTAGTAGGCGCTTTAATGTGTTTAAGTTGAAGCAATTGTAAATGAACCCTTAAAGTGGTTGTAAAGGCTGAAGGGTTTCAAACTTTGTGCATTCTATGCATGAGGGTAAAAAACCTTCAGTGTGCAGCAGCCCCTCCAGCCTCCCTACTACTTACCTGAGTCTATCACGATCCAGCAATGTGCACAAGAGCCCTGGCTCTCTGGGAACTCTATCTTCTCAATGGCTGAGACAGCAGAAGGAGCCAGTGAGCCAATGAGGAGTGACGGGTAGGTA